CAACATGTCTCTGTTTTATAGACAACATATAACAATCTATAGGCTTCCACTTGGAGAGATTTGTTCATATGATGTTCTTGAGACCGCGAAATCCAACTGAAAAACAGAGACAAATCAGTGATTCATGTCCGTATATCCGGATATCGATGTTTCTTGAAACCGAGAATGTGAGAAACTTACAATTGGGTTAACACTAAAAGAAATGTGTAGCCATCAAAATCTGAGGTTTCTTCTTTTCTTCTTCGACTTGAATTACAGATTCTGTTTTGATCTCTTGAACCTTTTTATCCCAAATCTCATCTACTAGTTTCCATGTGTTATCGCTAATGATTTGCGTCTGAATAAAACACAACACAAGAAGAAATAAGAGAACATGTTTGTTTATGTTATGATCTTTGAGTTGGTTTGTACATTACATACCTCCATGGGACGAGGAGCACCAAATATTGCAAAACCAATGTTTCCTGGAGAAAATGTTACTCTTCCAGGAAGCGATACGCCGTGAATTCCCCATCTTCCCGCGTAGATTAAAGCTCCATATTCATCGACAGGTCTCACGGGTTTCTGTTTTCATAAATAAAAGGATCTGGAAAAACCGAGATAATCGAAACAGAGAGAAAAAGTCAGGGTGAAGGATAACTAACTTGAGCAATCCTTGGAGCTGTGTTGTAAATGTTCCAAATTTCATCGGCTTTGATTTCTCCCTTCTCAAGAAGCACATCTGAAAATATTATTACACTCTTTAAGATCGTTGAGTGTATGATGATGCCTGCAATTGTAATGAAGAGAGGGTTTGATATTCTAAACCTGTGATTTCTTCAAGTGCTGATTGATATTCTTGTAAGATTGATGAGCATTTCTCAACAGCAAACCGCATGTATTCATCGCGTAATGCCTCAAGTTTCGGAATAAGCTATACGCAGGGGAATCAAAATGGTGGTTTCTGAGATTCTCAAGAGCTAAACAAAAAAAGAAAAAGGAAGGAGTAAATTTTTAAAAAACTTACGTTTGGAACGAGATCTCTTTGGTTTCGGTAATAAGCTTTCCCAAACGCAGTCATTCCCGTCTGAAGAATCAGAAACTCCGCACGCTGTGAAGCTTCTAAAGTCGACTTAGCAGAGATCCAACACAAGTTTTCTATTCCAAACATCTCTTCTTCAACTACCCTGGCTATATACAAACAAGAAACAAAGTAAGCAACAGAGATTTTTGTGATCTATAACGAAATAATTAAAGGAAAAAGTCAGGCTTTTCTGGCTTTATAACTTACGAGCACATGCACGGATTATTGAGTTAACATAGTCTGACTTTCTCGCAAAAATTCTTCCTGAAGTTTCTGCGTAACGCATATTTGGTTGGCTTCGGATTGAGTTTATGTCGGTCTGCAGATAAAAGAACATGAAACAATGGTCTAAACCATGTTATAATCCAAAAGAACACATGAAAGATCAAACTTCTCAATCACCTCACTGATTGGACGGTACTGATCTGGAAGATAACAGGCAAGAACAGCAACAGATGCTTCTCGGTAAGCCAATCTCAACTTCAATTCCTCTGGAACTTCAGTACTATCTTCTTGTCCCGTCTCAAATGTCCCTTTTTGCTGTAATGAGTGGAATCAGAATTTGCTAGAGCAGCATCTAAGTGAGGATAAACTGGACATTAAGCACTAATTTACCCTCTTAAGCGCCTCTAGGAGTTCTTCTCTTCCAATGTAGTCTAAGTCTTTTCTTGCAGTCAAGATTCCAGCTTCATTTCTGTCAACAATTAACCAAACATCAGTGTTTTTGAATTTTGTTCCCTCTGCGATTCTCTAACCAAAAATAGTTGAAGCTGTAGCGTTATATATTACAGAACGTTTTGCAGTTCCGCTCCAGTAAAATCTTCCGTGTTCTCAGCTACTTCTTGCAGCAACTCCTCCTTCTCATCTTCGGATCGGAAAAATTTATTTCTAGCATGAACCTTTCATACAAAGAAAACATTTAGCTAGAGCACAAAGCAAACCAAAAACTCTTTGATTTCAGAAAGTGAAATGAAGTACCTTTAATATGGCCAATCTACCATCTTTCGAAGGTAAGCCAACTCTTATGATTTTGTCAAAACGCCCTTTTCTCAATAGAGCAGGATCAAGGATATCTAATCTATTTGTTGCACCTATGACTAATACCTGACAAAATCCATGATTAATAGCAAGAAGTGTTTACTGAATAAAAAACTTCAAAGCAATAGAAACCTTACTTGTGATGTCGTAACTTTAAATCCATCCATCTCAGTCAATATTTGAAGCAAACCTTGTTCCCTCTCTGCTCCTCCCTGTTTAGTTAGTAACACATTTAAAAGAAAAAAGTTAAATACTGTAATCCAATATCTCATTTCTGGAACAAAGACTCTAATTGACGACAAATGAAAAAAAAAACAACCAAAATTCTTACCCCGCCAATATCTGGTCCACCTCGCTTACTTCCAATTGCATCAATCTCATCAATAAAGATTATAGACGGCGCAAATGACCGAGAGCTCGCAAAAAGATCTTTTACACGAGATGCAGCCACTCCTACAAACATCTAGAGATTTAAACAAAAAGGGAACTCCATTAACTCAAGACCTAAAAAGCCAAGACATCTAGGACTGTTTTTCATGTCGACACAATCAACTCCTCACCTCGACAAAGTCAGTTCCATTTGCAGCAAAGAAAGGTAAACCAGCTTCTCCAGCAATAGCTTTAGCCAGCAGAGTTTTCCCTGTCCCGGGAGGTCCATGAAGAAGAACACCTTTCGGACAATAAATTCCTTTATTCTGAAACTCTTCATCATTCTTTAAAATCCGCACAATCTCTTGTAACTCCCTCTTTATATACTCCTGACCAGCAAAATCATCAAAAGTCACACCAGTTTTCTCCTCTGCTGATATAAATTTTGCCCTAAGAAAGAGAGAAAAAAAAAACATAATCTTAGACAAGTATATTTTCTGCCATTTGAGTTAAAATCAAATATCCGGTGTTGATTTGACATACCGACTCTTGCCTAGGGACCCGAGTGCTTGGCGTTTGAGGGGTGTTCTCATCTTTTTGGTAGGGGTTCCGAGATCAGAAGGGATTAACTTGGCATAGATTGGCCTCATAATACTGTCGATCCAGACATAAAGCGAAACAAATAGAGCAAGCCTCATAGACCAAACCACAAAAGTGGCAACTGTTGTGTAGACTTCAGCTGGAACCACATCGACATTAAAAACTTCTACATTGACTATTTGCTGATGCAACTTCTTCCAAACATCATTCCAACCATCAACTGGCATTCGGTCTACAATGTGACGACGGAAAATTATCTCCTTTTTTGTGTCTTCTTCTTCTCCTAAGGGCTCCCCATCTTTATAATAAGGCAATATCACTGCAACAACAACTAAACTTAAGTTAAAGATTTCAAGAAAAATTGACACCAATCCTAGGTTTGAGCAGCATGATGAAAATGTATTGAATACCATTTCGGAAAGACACACAGAATTTTTGGGAAAACCAATTTTAAACACAAACTAGTCAGAATGGAAAACACTGAAGGCAGAACTACGAGCAAATATACCATCAAAAGAGAAACCACGAAAAGGACCTAACTTTTTCGGAACTGAAACCGCAGTTGAGCAAATCTATTTCATTGGCATGTGTTAACAAATAGAAAAATCACTGAAAACAATAAACTTTGTGTAACTTTGAACCTGATATCGTCTGTCCGTAATTCGAATATTCCATGTATTGAACACTGTTTGAATCCAACAGTTTCATAAAATCGCTAAAATTGATCCGGTGAGAGTTTTCAGGATCCCATTCTGTTCCCTTTAACTTCCCACGCATCGTTAACAATGTTCTACTCCAATCTGAAGCCATCACAAGCTGCCTTTCTAATTGTACATTAGCTTTTCTCTCTAGCTCTTCCATGTTGCTAATTCGTTCCCTTTCAACTTCCCTTAATCTCTGAAAAATCCAAATCAAAGCTATGAAAACTCCATTAAAGTCTTCAGTACAAAGGAATGAGCCTGATTAAGAACATCAATTACACTACAACCAACAAAATGTCTCAAAGTAATCTACTTGCAACATACCCACAAAAAAGATTCAAAATTCCTAATTGCTTATTACGTATTAAGCTACCAAGTTCGTCAATTTCCATTCGAGAAAAGCGAAACCTAGAATATGACCCGGTCTAAATTCCTCGAACCCAAGAATTACCATTCATTCTGCATTAATAATTTGGAATCAGAAATGAAACAGAGAGATAAACCTCAAATAGACGATTCGACTCAGCATATTCTTCTTCCTGTGAAACTGAAGACTGAGTAGACTCAAAGCTCGATGTACAACAAGTAATCAAACCATTTCTTCGTGAAGGAACAGGGTTGAATTTGGAGATTGATTTAGCTTCCGATGGTTTTCTCCGACGAACGAAACTAGACAGAGAACTCGGAAATCGAATGGGGAAGAGGGTATTAGAAGGGTTTAAGGATTTCGAGAAATGGGTTGGAGTTAACGAACTCGATAAATAAAACGCCATTGATGTTCAATCATCAGATGTAGAGAAATTTTCTCGGCTAGAAAATTTTCCCTCGATTTTCTAGGTGCAGGAAAAACGATAGCTCTAGAGGTAAAATTGCTTGGGTTTTCTCTTCACGGAGATTGTAAGAGACAATCGAAACGCTGCGTTTTAACAGTTTTAACGTTTTGAAAAGAATTCCGGCACAACTATCTCAATCGAACATCATCGGTACGGTTAATTTTGATACGGAACCGGTGCGTTTGTTTTTATTACCGTTGTAATTGGAAGAGATTAAACGGTTTCTTCGAAAACTCCCGTTTTAAACAATTACCGGTACGACCATAACCGGACTCGAATTTCCGGTAATACAGTAATTTTGATACCGAACCGGTTTCGAGCGAGCAAAACCTTTGATGTTCGGAGAGAAAGCGACCGTTGTAGTAGATCTGTTGATTTTTCTTCTTGTTCGGAGAAATGGTGAAACACAGAAACTCATCTCGCTCGATAATCTCATCTTCTTCTTATTCAGCTAGATTCTTCTCCATTAAAGCTATTTCTCTCTACTTGATCTTCGTATTTGCTTTTACCATCTGGGTTCTTGTCTTCAGCTCCAGAAACATACAAACCGATGACCAAATCCAACAGCAACATCGAGATCTAATCGATTCAGAAGAATTTACGACTCCTCCGAAGAAGGTATGGTTCTTACTTTAGTGGATTTTGGATTTCAATGAAGAAATGAAGCGACTTGATTTGGTTTTGGATTTGATCTCGATCGTGACGATTGGTAACTTGATGAAACCTATTTGAGCTTCAGAAATTGAATGAAGATACTCAACTTTGGACTCCTCCTTTCAGCTTTGGTTTGCATCCATGTGTCAAACCTACTCCTAAATACAAAGGTAAAGTAGAAAAAGTTCCAATTTCAGTTTCGGATGGATCTATTTAGGGGTTTGTTTCTTTGATTTTTAAACACAATTTTCCTTAGCTTTTGCAGAATTTACAGAATCAGATCATTATATAACAGTGAGAAGTAATGGTGGTTTGAATCAAATGCGTACTGGTGTAAGTAAAACTAGAACCAGAAACCATTTAAGCTAATGTTTTTTCATGTTACTTGTTTCTTGATTAGTTAGAAATGTTTCTCTCAAATTCCAACTGATTTCAAGAAGCATGTTATTATTCTTACAGATAGCGGATATAGTCGCTGTTGCGCACATCATGAATGCAACTTTAGTCATTCCTGAGCTGGATAAGCGGTCGTTTTGGCAAGATTCAAGGTATTTGAAACTTCAAAGAAACAAGAAATAAACAATTGTTTTTATGGCTCTTAGTTAAGTAGTTATGAGGTTTGTTCTGTTACTTATTTCCACTTCACTATGCCTCAGTGTTTTTTCAGATATTTTTGATGAGGAACATTTTGTTAAATCCTTGCAAAGAGATGTGAAGATTATTAAAAAGCTCCCAAAGGAAGTGGAATCTTTACCTAGAGCAAGGAAACATTTCACTTCTTGGGCTGGTGTAGGATATTACGAAGAAATGACAAACCTGTGGAAGGAGTACAAGGTCTTAAGCAACTTCTTTTTGAAAATTGCATATGCTCTGTACTCATTGTGTAGCACTAAACTTGTAGATAATTAGCGGATGTTGTTAACCGCTGACGCTGACAGAATAACGACAATGCAGGTCATCCATGTCGCGAAATCAGATTCTCGTCTTGCAAATAATGACTTGCCTATCGACATTCAGCGATTGAGATGCCGTGCACTGTATAGTGGTCTACGCTTCTCTCCTGCAATTGAAAGCCTTGGACAGGTGTGGACCCTTTTTCTATTCATTTAAATGACATAGATAGGCAGTAGTTAAAATTTTCTTCCTAAGAATACACAGAAGATTTTAAGTTTTTGTCCTCCTTGGGTACTGTTATGAATAGGAGTATAGAAGTTCCGAGTCCCTTGATAGAACTATCATCACTTATTGTGTAATGTATTTGGGGCCCTGTTAGGAGAAGCCTGATAGAAAAATTGAGCACATTTTTTACTATCATTCATAAGTCTTAGTAGTTTATGCATTTTAAGAGGTGTCCTTTGGGGCTTCCTGTAGACTTTGGGTTCTGAGCAATCATGACGGTGACACCACAGAAGCTGGTTGATCGACTCAAGTCACGCGCTGGGAGATACATTGCATTGCATCTGAGATATGAGAAAGACATGTTGGCTTTCACTGGTTGTACCTATGGTCTCACGGATGCTGAATCTGAAGAATTGAGAGTAATGCGGTAATATATTATCCCCGTAACAAACCAAACATGAAAAACGCCGTCTTGTGATAAAGTTAATGTTTGAAGCTTAATATAATATCGGTTGATCACAGGGAAAGTACAAGCCATTGGAAGATCAAAAGTATAAATTCAACAGAGCAGAGAGTGGAAGGGCTTTGTCCATTGACTCCAAAAGAAGTGGGAATATTTCTGAAAGGTCTCGGATATACTCAGTCAACAGTCATTTATGTTGCGGCGGGTGAAATCTATGGAGGCGATGATAGACTCTTGGAGCTTAAATCACACTTCCCAAATCTAGTATTTAAGGTTTGTTTATAACCACCTCTTGACCTTTCATGTTACTGGCAAATCTAAAGATGATAGATAATGTTAAGTTTCACGTACTGAATTTTGCAGGAAATGCTTGCCACAAATGATGAATTGAAAGGTTTCACAGGGCATGCGACTAAAACGGCAGCTCTTGATTATATAATATCAGTTGAGAGTGATGTGTTTGTTCCTTCGCATTCCGGAAACATGGCAAGAGCCGTTGAAGGTCACCGCAGATTTCTAGGGCATCGCAGGACAATCACTCCAGACAGGTTCTATCTTCTTCCTTTTGTTGCCTTCTCCAACTTCAAAAAGTTTTCGTTTTTTACTCGTTTCGTTAGAGCCCATGAAAAGTTTGGTGTTGTATCCAGGAAAGGACTAGTGAAACTTTTCAATAAGGTTGAGAGAGGACAGCTAAAAGAAGGAACAAAGTTGTCGAATCTTGTGAAGCAAATGCATCAAACCAGGTAACAAAAGAATCATACATTTGCTTCTTATACAAGTTTCAAAATGCAATAAACCAAACGAAGAGAGATTCTTTGGATCGGTTTTGCAGGCAAGGTGCACCGAGGAGAAGGAAAGGACCAACACAAGGGATCAAAGGACGTGCTCGGTTTAGAACTGAAGAAGCTTTTTATGAGAACCCATACCCAGAGTGTATTTGCAGTTCAAAGGAACACAACAAACCCTAAACTAAAATTTTCCAACTTTTTATTTTTGTTTGCTTTGAGTGATTCTGACCATTTTTTGTTTTGTTTTATGTCATTACGTACGTCCATTTATAGTCACCTTAAACCATAGTTATCACATATTTTTCGAGATTATGAGTAAAAATGTTTGAAACGCTAGATTATTCGATACTTTTGTCTGAAACAAGAGCTTTAATTTGCTCGGGTACTTGACAAAAGTTTTGCATTCACACAAGAAGATGAAAAATCGTTTTGGTTTTCTCTCCATATTAATTGATTCGGTTTAGCAATTTGATAGCATGATTTTCCACTCTATCATGGTGTTTGACAATATATAAGCCGAATCATCCATCGTGGTGTTAATTTGATAGTTTGTTGTATGTTTCTCATACATGGTGAATATCAACTATTATACTTTATTACAAGTAGCATGAACACACAACTACCTGCTTAAAATAAAATAACATCCAAATCCTAGTAAGAACATTTTTTTTTTGTCACAAAAGTAAATATTTTAAAATACTCTCCACGTTAGCTATAATCTTCCGAGTTCATATGTCAGTAAGAACAGAATATTTTTTCGTCATGGGTTTCGAACCTTATTTTATCTTGCCAATGTGTTTCGCATCGATAGCAAATGGGACGAGTGAGACCATAGTTTGGAACTATATTAATCTTCCCATAAAATAGCATGGAATTTTGAGCAGGCTTCATATAACTTCCATCTTGCCCTCGAAAACATTTAATATGGAGTGTGACACCACATTTATTACATGTATAAAGTCACTGCGGTGAATCAATTTTTTCCTTACAAACCTCACACCAATTGAGACTTTTCTTCTTTTCGTAAGAAAGGGTGAGGAAATGTTCGTAGTGCTCATATCTCACTTTATATGCTAATGTGGCACAACTAAAGCACGAAACAAAGTCACATTCGAGACAATTTAATTGTCGAGGCCACTTCCTTCTGCACATTGAACATGCTTGAAAATATTTTGTAGTTGTTAAGAACAAAGGATGCATAGGGTGACATTGATGGTCAAATGGCTCAGATACTGCAGCACATCGTACGTCTAAGATTAGATATTCACCACGTTCGCTACTCGCATATTTGAAACCACACGAGTAACGCTCACAAAGATCACAACTGAAGTACTTTACCGTATCACTTATTTGTAGAATAAATAGATAGGGATACGCCATGTGTAGTTTCGTCCGGGGCAGATTTGCACATGTTTCATGGAGTACAAAATCACACTTGGAATCCATACATGTGTAAAAATCACCATCGTAAAGAGGAAGTATGCATGCTTGACACTTCTTTTTTTCATCATACGACATGTCGGTCCCTTTTTCAAATCTCATATGATGTGGATGGCTGAAATATTGTATAACTCCATTGCCTATCACCTCAAACGAATTGAGATGTTCATATTTTTCTTCCGGTCCATCCTCCAGTTCTCTTCCATCCCTCACATCTTTTCGAGTTGCACATTTTGAATGCACTACATAAGTGCAATCTTCCATGCAAGAGTATTTTCCACAATTTTCGTCAATATTTTGACGACAGACTCCACAAGACAAATTTCTAGAAGGAGAAGAATATGTAAAGAGATACGGTTTTTATGGCGAGATATTCTTATGACAAATGGTAAGTAGATACATGTTTTATGGACAACGAAATCGCACTGAAGACACACATAGATAAGAGACTTGTTATCATCAACTGACCCACAAACATCACATATCAAATTGGTATTTCTCGGAAAGTAGTTGAGGGCATGCTCATGCCTCTTTTATAGGTCAGAAATGACGGTTTTCTCGCACAAACAAGATCTATACTAAAACTATAAAGAGAGCAACGGTAAAATAAGCGAAAAAGATCTGATCCACAATAACAACAAGGACTTATCATGTTATACCAACCACTCATATTATAATCCTTATCAAACTCAAACCATTTATTATTCATGAGAAGTTGGAGATTGTGTTTGGGGTGATAAAGAGATTTGATTAGAGGAGGAGACTCGACGCATTCTTTGTGGTAAGCTACTTTACATTCATTGCAAAAATAATAAGTTGTATCGATTGACTTACATTCACAAGCACCACAGCGGAACTTATCTTCTGAATATTCTTTGTTGTTGCACCAAAATAAAGGGAAAATTTGGTGGCGAGAATGTGAAAAATTATCGTCTTTGACATATGAAAAGTCATATGAATTGTCGATTATAAGATATTTATCATCAATTTTCTTGCAAGAATCTAGTTTGTTGAATTTGAATCGTTCGGAAGGGCAAATGAGACGAGAAACTGGAGGATTTTCAATGGAGTTCATGGCTACTAGTAGTCAAAAGAAGTTTTGATGATTATAGATATTGAGAGTCTAGAGTTTTTTTTTTTGTTCAACGAGAGTCTAGAGTTTAGTTGTTGTGATTTGTGACATGACTAAGC